AGGAAGGAAGGAAGGAAGGAAGGAAGGAAGGAAGGAAGGAAGGAAGGCAGGCAGAAAAAACACAGTGGGTATCAGCCACAAGCATTCTTGCTTAAGGTCTTGAAAGCTGGGCTCACATTTCCGGGAAAGCTCTTGAAGACCTTATTTCCTATGTCCCAGCTGGGAGAAGTCTTTCAACGACCAGAGGGAGCCAGAGTCTCCCCGGAAGTGGGGACTGCCCTGGGGTGACTACCTTGAAGCTGGTGGTGATGGAGGCATATTTGTTGTCGGCCGTCTCTGAATTCCCGATCAGGTAGTCCCAGCTGGTGAACATCTTGAAGCTGAATGTGAAGTTGTCACTCTCCCCTTCACCTGTGCTTCCTTGGGTATTGCTGGCCATCCTGTAGGGCACATGGTGCTTTTGTGACATCTGCCCTCTTTCTGCTGTGTCACCCCCAGGGAACTTTGGCCTAAGCCAGTCTTGGACACAGGTAACAGATGAACAGGTAACTGACATTCAGAGATGAAACAAGCCCGGCAGGGACATGGGCCAAGGCAGATTTGAGGATAGCCAGGACACCTTTCTCCCCAAATTCAGAGTCCCCTGCAAGCACACATGCTGTCAGTTAGGTAATAAAAAGCCTGTAGGACATAGGACATGTGACCATGTTTTTTTCCCTACACCAACTTCCTGTGGCTTGACTCATCCGAAAATGCAGTTGGAGCACTCTTTACAGGGAGTCTATTCTCAGACAGGAACATCTTCTAAGTCATCTATTTTCTTGGATAGAACATATTTTTTTTCTGATATAAAACACAAAACACACTGAGGTGGTTAGTGCTACTTTTGTTTTTTGTAAGAGAGTCTCCCTTCATTGTCTAGTCTGGAGTGCAATGGCGCGATCTTGGCTCACTGCAGCCTCCGCCTCTAGGGTTCAAGCCATTCTCCTGCCTCAGCCTTTTGAGTAGCTGGGATTACAGGCACTCACCACGATGCCTGGCTAATTTTTTGTATTTTTAGTAGAGACAGGGTTTTACGATTTTAGCCAGGCTGGTCTTGAACTCCTGACCTCCGGTGATCTGCCCGCCTCAGTCTCCCAAAATGCTGGGATTACAGGCATGAGCCACCGTTCCCGGCCTGGTACTACTTTTAATTGCAAAGCCAGCAATTACTTTTGCACCAACCTAATACGATCAGGTCACACATCCTTTTCTTAAGCGAGCTTGGCTGAAAGCAACTTGGACCTTCCGGTTTCATCCTGCCTGTCTTCAACCTATGCTCCCTGGAGTTGGCCCTGTGAGAATCACAGAGTTCCAAGCAGGGGCTCTATCAGAGACTATGAGGGGTTTGTCATCCTCCCTAACTCTGTCCTACATGTTGGCTTTCTGGATTTGCCGCTCCACAGGGCTTAGCTAGCTTCTTTGCTTGTCACGAAAACATTCCGTATTTCTGTACTTAGCTGGGATGAGAGCAGGGAAAAAGTAACAGCATGAGGGCTGAGAATCAAACCAAGCCTGTCTCCTTGTTCTTTTCCTTTTGCCTGATGGTGCTGTGCAGTCAGAGATCACACAGTGGTCACTGTCGAGTGCCTGCAGGGTCTTGTGAATGGCAGCATTTCTGCCTGAGACCATGTGATAGAAAGCCAAGCCCTGTGTCCCCATTGCTGGCTCAGGGGCTCTACCCAGGCTTCGAAAGTGCTCCTCTCCTCTCCTGGAGACGGAGACTCAGCCACCCACACTCTTCACGTCTGTGCTGAAGGGAGAGTGGGCCCAGGTGGATAGGTTGTGTGGATAGGAGAGTGTATCCAGGTGGATAGACAGTGCCTTCCACTCCGCAACCCCCAGCCACAGCTGATGGGGTCCTCTGATTCTGAAGAAGACCATCAATTCATGGGCTGGGCCAAGTTTTTTCTTCAGATAATATGAATTAAGAGGCACAGACATATTAAAAGGCCACTTCTGACCACAGAATCAAGTAGAGTTGGGGCCAGAGAGGCTGCCATGGTTAATCAATGCCACATACGTTTATTTAGTATAAGTTTATTGGTTATATCTTTCTGTGTGTCAGGCTTGGTTCTCACACACAAGCTAGAGTTTGGAAGGGGAGAAGAATTTTTCAGAGGAAGCTGAGCTCTGGAGAAAAGCAGCAACAGGCCTGACAGACCTCCAGCCCTACCTTATGCTACCAGGTACCATGTTTGCTCTCAAGCCACACTGGCCTTTGGCAGTTTTGGGGAACACACCAGGCTATTGGCTGCCTCAGGGCCTTTGCACATGCTCTTCTTTTGTTTAAAATGCTGCTCCCCAGAATATCAGCATGGCTGTTGTTCTCACCCTTATCTAAAAGATTTTCTATCCCATTTCCCTGAACAGCCCACACGACCTGGTTCATGTCTTTCATACCACAAATTACAATGTGCATATGCTTTTTGCGTTCATTTCCTTGTTTTCTCTGTGAATGCCCCTCCAGAAGAGAGGCAGGCATAGAGTGCTCTGGGAGTGAGCTGTGGGTGTGAAGTCAACGCCTGTGGATGAGACGGTCATACTTACGATCGAATGACAATCATCAGGCTGTAGCCGAACACGCTGACCCCCACCATAAAGTAAGCCATGGGCAGCCGGTACCTCAGCCACCCGATGGTCCTCTGGTTGTTGTAGTAGCCATAGAAGAGCGCAGAGTACTTGATATAGCCCTGGGGGACAGCAAAGCCAAACACCCTGGGTTGGTAAGCTCAGAGCTGGTGGTCACCAGACACGCCCATTCTACCAGGGCTCTCTTTCTTAGAGACTTAACCAAGTCTAAGGGGTCGAAGGAAGAGTTCCGGATGTTCTTGTTCTTCCCTTCACCTCCTCCAGTGGCTCCAGGGCCCCTCCACACCTCCACCTCTTTCTCTTCTTAATTCCCTCTATTTCTTCATTACATAGAGTGCATGGAGAGATGGGAGGGAGAGGAGAGTGTTACTAATATTTGGGACAAAACTAGGGATAGGGGATTGGGTGAGATGACTCACACCTGTTATCCCAGGGTTTGGGAGGCTGAGGTGGGCAGATCACTTGAGGCCAGGAGTTCAAGACCAACCTGGCCAACATGGTGAAACCCATCTCTACTAAAAATACAAAAATTAGCCAGGTGTGGTAGGGGGCGCCTGTAATCCCAGTTACTTGGGAGGCTGAGACATGAGAATCACTTAAACCCAGGAGGCGGAGGTTGCAGTGAACTGAGATTGTGCCACTGCACTCCAGCCTGGGTGACAGAGTGAGACTCTGTCTCAAAAAAAAAAAAAAAAAAACCAGAAAAAAAAAAAGTAGGGATAGTGTGTATGTGTGTGTTTGTATGTATGTATGTGCGTGTGTATGTGTGTGTATGTCTGTGCATGTATGTGTATGTGTGTATGTCTGTGCATGCATGTGTATGTGTGTATATGTGTATGTGTGTATATGTGTGTGTGTATGTCTGTGCATGCATGTGTATGTGTATATGTGTGTATGTGTGTATATGTGTGTATGTGTATGTCTGTGCATGCATGTGTATGTGTATATGTGTGTATGTGTGTGTGTGTGTATGTGCATGCATGTGTATGTGTCTATGTATGTGTGTATATGTGTGTGTGTATGTGTGTATGTCTGTGCATGCATGTGAATGTGTGTATGTGTGTATATGTGTGTGTATGTGTGTATGTCTGTGCATGCATGTGTATGTGTGTATGTGTGTGTATGTGTATATGTGTGTATGTGTGTGTGTGCATGCATGTGTATGTGTGTATGTCTGTGCATGCATGTGTATGTGTGTATGTGTGTGTATGTATGTGTGTGTGTATGTCTGTGCATGCATGTGTATGTGTGTATATGTGTGTATGTCTGTGCATGCATGTGTATGTGTGTGTATGTCTGCATGCATGTGTATGTGTGTATGTGTGTATGTGTATATGTGTGTGTATGTGTGTATGTGTGTGTATGTGTGTATATGTGTGTATTTCTGTGCATGCATGTGTATGTGTGTATGTGTGTATATGTGTGTATATGTGTGTATTTCTGTGCATGCATGTGTATGTGTGTGTGTGTATGTGTGTATGTGTGTGTGTGTGTATGTCTGTGCATGCATGCACATGCACATATAGCTCCCAATTACTTTCCCCCACCCCCAGGGTCTTTAACACTCCAGAAGTAGACAGCAGTCTATGAGCTTTTTCAATACTTCAAAACCTCTGAAGAAAATTATACGCAATAAGGCTAACACTCTAACTTGAACTTTGAATTTTTTTGTTTTATTTTGGGATTTTATATGCTGTTGTCTTTAGGTATAATTAGTACATTTTAAGCTGTAGTTAGTACACTTTTTAGGTGTAATTATTTAGGAAAATATTAGATTGTTAATGTTTTGTATATGTCTTTGTAAATAAAAAGTAAGGGATTATTGTTGAAAAAATTGGGTTTGTTTTTGGTACACAGGATGTTTCAACAGGGAATCCTGGCATTAAAAAAAAAAGGTAGGGGCCAGGCACGGTGGCTCACACCTGTAATCCCAGCACTTTGGAAGGCCAAGGCAAGTGGATCACTTGAGGGTAGGAGTTTGAGACCAGCCTGGCCAACATATCTACTAAAAATATAAAAATTTGCCAAGTGTGATGGCGGTAGCCTGTAATCCCAGCTACTCAGGAGGCTCAGGCAGGAGAATTGCTTTAACCTGGGAGGTGGAGGTTACAGTGAACAGAGATCATGCCTCCACATTCCACCTGGGCAACAGAGGGAGACTGTCTCAAAACAAACAAACAAACAAACAAAAAAAACAGAAAAAAAGAAAAAAGAATAAAGAAATCCTTAGTAGCAGTATAGTTGGAAAGCCCTGTTCCAAATAACTTTCTGAAGGGTCTCAATTCTGACTCTGAGAGTGAGGGATGGCAGCAGCAATGACTTGCTGTGGGCGGCACTACGACCATGCCTCCCAGCCTTAGCAAGCCCTTGGAGCTGCGAACTAAGCCTCCAGATGCATGGGGGTGTGAAGCTCACAAAGGAGGGAAGAGTGTTCCAGGCAAAAGGCCATAAGCAAAGGCAGAGAGGCAATGATGGTGTGGTGTGTGATGCATGCTGGGACTTCCCCAGAGCTCGGTGGCATTGGGCGCTAAAGTGCGAGGTATTAGATGGATATGGAACTGGAGAGTGGGGAGCAGCGGGGTCAGGAACAGTTCTTTTCTAAACCCAATTAAGAACACTGACTTTTATTCCACCGGGAATGAGAATCAATGAAAATTTGAGGTAGGAGAGTGACAGGATCAGATTTGCATTTTATAAAGATCACTCCAGCAGCAAAGGGAATGCACATTTTAGGAGCCAAGCCAAAGCAGAGAGGAGAGGTAGATGATTCTGACAGTAGTCCCGGTAAAGTGAGGGCATTATTCAAGGCGAAAGTAAAAGACACGGAAAAAAGCATTTTTCCTAATGATGGGATCCTATTTGGTTAAAGCACTGGTTTTTCTTTTTCTTTTTTCTTTCTTTCTTTTTTTTTGAGATGGAGTCTTGCTCTGTTGCCCGGGCTGGAGTTCAGTGGCACGATCTTGGCTCACTACAACCTCCACCTCCTGGGTTCAAGCAATTCTCCTGCCTCAGCCTCCCGAGTAGCTGCGACTACAGACATGTACCACCATGCCTGGCTTATTTTTGTATTTTTAGTAGAGAAAAGGTTTCACTATGTTAGCCAGGCTGGTCTTGAGCTCCTGACATCGTGATCTGCCTGCTTAGACCTCCCAAAGTGCTGGGATTACAGGCATGAGCTCCCACGCCCAGCCAGTACTGGTTTTTCAATAATTAAGTCCACTGTTTCACACTTATACTTGCAATCTTTAGGGCTTACAATCACAAATGGAGGGGCTTTGGTATGTTGGCAATAGCACCTTGAAATCTCAAAGGACGAAAAACTCCATGGCTTTTTCTTATGCAGCCCAGATATTCACTGATTTTCTTCCTCCTCAGATATCCATTGATTCCCATTCCCAAATGGAATAAAAGCTAATGTTCTTAATTGGTGATACAGTTTGGCTCTGTGTCCCCACCCAAATCTCATCTCTAATTGTAATCCCCAGGTGTTGAGGGAGGGACCTGGTGGGAGGTGATTGGATTATGGGGGCCGTTCACCCCAGCTGTTCTCAGGACAGTGAGGGAGTTCTCTCAACATCTGGTTGTTCTGATAAGTGTCTGGCATTTCCCCCGTGCTCTTTCTCTCCTGCTGCCATGTAAGAAGCGCCTTGCTCCCCTTTTACCTTTCACCATTATTGCAGATTTCCTGAGGCCTCTCCAGTCATGTGGAACTGTGAGCCAATTAAACCCCTTTATTTATAAATTACACAGTCTCAGGTAGTAGTGTGAAAATGAACTGATACAATTGGGTTTACAAAAGATTCAAGAAATATTTAGTAGGTAGGTGGATGGCTGGTGAGGAAGAGGGAGAAGCGTGGGATGACTTTCAGCCTTTAGACGTGGATGACTGGATGAATGGTGATTCCAACAAAGGAAATAGGGAAAAGAGATGTGGGTTTTGGCTGCATAGGTGTTGAATTTGAAGAGCAAGTGAGACATTCAGTTGATGATAGCATGTGAAACTTGGGGGAAGCCTGGAGTGGAGATAGATCTGGGGTCTTAATGTGGGAATGAGGAAAGAAAACCATACTGTTTTTATAAGCATGTTTTATAAATAGTTTTATAAGTATGTTTTATTAAGAAAACCTTATAAAGAGCTGGCAGACAGATAGGTGCAGTGGCCGCATGGAAAGCCCACATACATCAAGAGTGTGGCTGGAGAGAGCAGCCCATGAAGGAGACCCGGGAGGACTGTGCAGAGACATGGTTTGCAAGTTCATTTAGCTTAGTGCTGGGATCCTATTTTATTAAAGCAATGGATTTTCAATAATTAGATGCACTATTTCATACTTATCCATGCAATCTTTAGGCTTCATAATCACAAATGGAAGTTTGTTGGCATGTTGACAATAGTACCTCAAAATCCCAAAGGACAGAAAAATCCATGGCCCTTTCTTCTTCAGCCCGAGGCACTGTCTTTCTGGGAATACTCCCATAGGGCATGCCCATCAGTACCTTGTGTAGGAACACAATAACGCAAGTATGAGTGGAAGAAATACAAACACACAGAGACATTCATATACTGGGGTAAATACTTTCTTTCTCAGAGCAGGACATACCTATTTTCTTCTTTCTTTCTTTATTAATTTATTTTTTGAGATGGAGTTTCACTCTTGTCACCCAGGCTGGGTTGCAATGGTGTGGTCTCAGCTCACTGCAACTTCCGCCTCCCAGGTTCAAGCCATTCTCCTGTCTCAGCCTCCCAAGTAGCTGGGATTATAAGCGCCCACCACCACGTCTGGCTAATTTTTGTATTTTTAGTAGAGACAGCATTTCACCATGTTGGCCAGGCTGGTCTAGAACTCCTGACCTCAGGTGATTCATCTGCCTCAGCCTCTCAAAGTGCTGGGATTATAGGTGTGAACCACTGTGTCCGGTCCCATTTTCTTCTTTAAATGATATTGATCACTTTCCTGATTTTAAGAATAACATACACTCATTGTAAAAAATGTAAAAAAGCACAGAAGAGCTTTTTTTTTTTTTTTTTTTTGAGACAAGTTCTCACTCCATCACCTAGGCTGGGTGCAGTGGCTCGATCTTGGCTCACTGCAACCTCTGCCTCCCTAGCTCAAGTGATCCTCCCTCCTCAGCCTCCTGAGTAGCTGGAACTACAGGTTTGCACCCCAATGTCCAGCCAAATTTTGTAATTTTAGTAGAGACAAGGTTTTGCCATGTTGCCCAGGCTGGTCTCAAACTCCTGGGCTCAAGTGATCCTACCATCTTGGCCTCTCAAAATGCTGGGATTACAGGCATGAGCCACTGTGCCCAGCCAGAAGAGCATTTTAAAAGTTGTCTATCACCACCAAAACCCAAAGATAATGACTGTTAGATATTTATATATTTTCTTTCAGTTAATTCTGAGTTCTGTATATATATTCGTCTAGTTATTTAGCCTAATATTGTGACCAATTTCCTACATCATAAAGTATTTCCCCAAATAAAATGACTTCAAAAATATCTAATCAAAAATCTGTACAAGAAACTTACTTAACAAATCCCCTATTGTTGGACATTAGAGTATTTCTAATTCTGCACATGTATATAATTCTGTTATGAATACCCTTATATATATGCCCTTATTCATATCCTTAATTGTAAAAACAATCAGAAGTGGATTAATTCTACATATTGATTCAGGAAGGACTGACTTTTTAATGAGATTCAATTTTTCCTTCCAAGAATATATTATTCCATTTATTATCTTATTGTTGTCCAGTAATTATAGTGTTCCTCATAGAAATATTCTAACTTATTAAATGTATTACTAGTTATTTTATAGATTTATTGCATTATGTCAAAATTTTAAATTCTATTTTAAAGTGGATACAGAGAATCAATGCCATTTGTCTTTAAAATGACTCCAGTCATCTCAATATACTTGTTTATTAGATTCTAGTAGTTTTTGATAAAGTCATCGGAGTTTTTGGGGGATTTACAATCATACCTGCAAACCACAATAACTCTGTATTTTTTTGTACAAAGTGTATACGATGTTAATTTTCCTGCCATTGCAATAGGTGGTAGAAATTAATATTGAAAAGTAGTGAGGATAGGGATGTATCATGTTTTTTTTTATTTTTGTAGCACATGATTTAGTCTTTTTTCAGGATCTAATATAACATTACTTTGTTTCTTAATTTATAGGTTCATCATTTTTAGGTAATTTCCTTTTGCTTCTTTGTTTTAAATTCACTTTCTTATTAGGGAATATGCTATACATAGAATAGTATAACATATATGTATAGTTGATCATAATAAAAAGGAAATTAGCTACTACATATCCACTAGCTAGCTTAAGAAACAGGAAATCTCCAGGCCTTTATAATATCCTGGATAAGCCTCTCCTGAATTATATCACTCTTCCATCCTAAGATGCAGCCTAGATACAGTACATTTTATGATAATAATTCCCTTGTTTTGTCTTATATTTTACTCATTTATTGTGTAGCTTTGCCTGTTTAGTTTTGCTTGTTAAATGGAATTATACATAAGGATTCTCCTATGAATTGTTTTTTCATACAGCATTACACTTTTGAGATTATAGATATTGACAAGTGTAACTATAATTCTCTAATTTTCACTGTTATGTAATATTATGTTGTATGGACATACTGTAATATATTTACACAGTCTACTCTTCATAGACATTTGGATTGTTTCCAGATTTTACTATTGCAAACACTACTGCCAACAAAAGGAAGGGAAGTTGCTTTGGACAAACTCTTTCACTGAGAACAACTAGACAAGTGGACACTCCTGACTTGTGCTGCCAAGATCCAGGAGATAAAGAAATTCTGGAGAAGTGATTGTGTATTGCTGTTCCCCATGAGTAATTTGCTGGTTTCAATCACAGCAGCTAAAAGATAAAGAAAGCATGCAGCAACTTTGGAATGTCAAAGGGCTGAAGAATGAAATGAAAGTGAAATTTAAGGACAAATAGGTTTGGGAGGCTGAGGCAGGTGGATTGCTTGAGCTCAGGAGTTCAAGACCAGCCAGGGCAACATGGCAAAACCCCACCTCCACTAAAAAAAAAAAAAAAAAAAAAAAAAAAAATAAAAAAAAA